GTTATGAGATTTCATGTTTTCAGTCGTTATTTATTTTTATTACTCACTGGGTCGGAGTACTCACATTACTCCCTGCACCATCTGTGCAGATACAGACAGAGCTGAGTTCGCTCCTGAGCGCTGATTCTTTCCAGACCAGGCGGTGACTAGGAGTAACGAGGTAGCTGTTGACGTCCGCAGCCCCGTTTTCTCCCTTATCTTTGTTATTTATGATAATTCCATACTTTGTAAAATATTAGTAAACTCTGTAGTAGCTCATGACTTGTGACACCCTGATTTCGGGCTGAGTTGGGAGGGTTTTCCTTGTTCTATCGCGTTTATTTCGCATTTAAGATTATATTGCACGTGATTTAGACTTATTCCTACTAAGTAATTACAAAGAGATGTACTCTTTTGTTGATTGGCTGGCCTTATCCTCACGAGAGGCGCCATCACGACCGGGTTGGAATTTTGGGTCGTGACACATACTTTGCGTACTATCTATAGTAATAAAGCATTGTTGGTTCAAGAAGTTCACTAACAAAGACCCCGACAAATCAAATGTATTCATATTTATAGTATCAACAAAAAAAACATCATAATTGTTCAAAAGGTCTTCACCATTCACTTCAATGAATCAAATTGATTTGTGGCCACCATTTCCAATTGCATCACTGGTATTTTCCTACACATTCAAAATGAAATTAAAAATTAGAAAAAACAAATATATAGTATGCACTGGTTATATCTTACTAAGAACTAATGAGATTTTATTTCACTACTATAGCATAATAATGTCAAACACAAAAAAGATATACAAGTGAAAGAGAAGCAAAAATGTGAATTAACATTCATTTTACCTATCTCCTTCTATAATCGCAACAATCAACAACTACCACCCAGTATAATCCCACAAGTGGGGTCTAGGGAGGGTAGGATGTACGCTGCCTACCCTTATCCTAGAGGGGTACGGAGACTGTTTCTGATAGACCCTCAGCTAAAGAAGGTGAAGGAAGCCATGAGGGAAACTTATAGTGTACAAGAAAATAAATCAGTAAATAACAAGCGAGATCAAAAGCATTCTCCTTTTCCCGTAGTTCCTTTCCCTCTTCCCTGAGGTACACATCTCAGCACAATTACCTTACACCTTGTTTATGCAATATACTTTTAGAATATCCTTGACAGAAACAGGGAACTGAAAGAAAAATATACATCTACGCCTTATCGATCAAGTTTAATTTCCTAATGTAGCAAAGAATTTAGATCAATGTTTCCAGAAAACCTACAGAAAGCAAATGTTACCAGATGTCATTAACACAGAATGAAGACGAGAAGGAAAGAGAACTCTCATATGCATTATACAGCAGGATTACAAGTCAGATATGTGTGTGTGTGTATATATATATATATATATATAGGGGCGGATCTAGCGTGTAGTATGCGGGTTCCCGGGAACCCAGTAACTTTTGCGTAGACCCTGTATTTTTGTTAATTTTTTTATTAAATATCTATTTGTGAACCCAGTTATTATTGTATATTAATTTAAAATTGCGACATGAACCCATAAACTTAAAATCCTGGATCCGCCTCTGTATATATATATCTGATCAAATTTACCCTACCATTATACTATTTGGTGAAATATAAATACCTTTTCAAGACTTGGGGCATGAGTTGAGCCAGAAGATTATGGTAGATTATGGCCTCTCATATCTCGTGCACTACTTGCATCAACCGGTGAAGGAATATTAGATCCAACACACCCTTGTATATTACGAAAATCCAGTCCAGGGTTGTTTTTCACCATTTGACTAAAAAACATCGCATTTCTTCTCTCATCATTTCCTTCATTTCTTCCTTCAGAGAAGTTATTCGTTGGCATGCTGTTGTTTAAGTTTGGTGATTTCTTCATCTTTTTTTAGAGAGTTTGTCGTTACCGATCTACCATAGCATCTAACCCGACTAGGCTGCTCCTTTCCAAATACAGCCTAAATGCATCATCTGCTGTTTCTCCAGAACTTTGACGATTCTGAAGTTCAGACTGTCAAAAAAAATATTATAAAAAAGATTATTAACAACTTTATATCTCAAAAAGCTAGAAAAGTAGATTTTAAATAAAAATATATCTTATAACTTAAAAATTTAGGCCTCATATTAATTTTGGCTTTAGGCTCCCTATAAGAATCACTTAAAAATTGAAATATAACAAATTAATACTAGGCTATGTAAAAAATTCAAAATTTTTCACTTATAAATAACTGGTACTAGTTATTTAAATTTTGAGTGCATCACTACCAAAAGTTATTATCACTAACCATGCCAGATGACTATGTAATTATGAAGTTTAAGATATTAAAATTTACATTTGAACTAAAACACTAGTTATTACTGGTAAAATTACATTTGATCTCAAATAGTAGAAAAGTAAAAAAATATACACTCTTTATCACATAATAAAACATAAAATTTCTACAACTGATAAAATTATACCCAATAGTACTGTATTTTTAGAGAGAAAATAACTATCATGAAAAATCTTGAATAAAAATGGCTGCATTTGACTTTGGGCAAAACAATAATGATCTCAGTTTAGGAACATAGAAAATAAAAAAGAAGAAAATACATGTGCTACTGAATATGAAAACCCAACCTGGATTCTACCTGTTAAGAGTTCATGTTTCCAAAAACAATAAAACAAATTTGAGGAAGAAAGAAATAAAGAGAGAGTCAAGAACAGTTAAGAGTTCTGCAAACTATTAAATTCATCCGCCCACCTGCTACGATTATTTCATGCTTCAAATTAATCTTCAGAAGTATATTCTTTAAGTTCTTGAGTTGTTCTGTCTTTGCATTACAAAATACCAAGAGCAAGATTCTTATGGCTGCCCTGACCATCATTCAGCTTAAAGTTTCTACTATCAAAATAAATAACATGAGATATAACTCATATGCTTGCCTCAACACTCCGGCAAACATCTAATCAAGGGGGAAAAACGAAAGAAGGAAGAGTAAGGTTACATCCGATAGGCACTAAGCGGGAAATGATTCATACTACATTTCTGTGGGCTTTTACAACCAAATGCACACTTCTACACACGTACGAAAAGGGACATTCAAATGGGTTCACTAGAATGAGCCTCCACATCTACATGCCATTGCAGAGCATCAAGGCATAGCACAAGAGTCCGGTAAGATCCTCCATTTAGTTTAAATTTTTGAGTTGTTTCCTTTTTCCCTCTATTGCTTCAAGTATCTTTTAATGATTATCTTGAATCGAAAGTCAGACTGCAATCCAATTCACTCCGATGGACGGTTTCTGGATAACACATTCTCGGCCAAATATTATTTCAAACTTTTAACTGAAAAGCTGCGACAGTGTCCAAGGGAACAAAAAATAAGACATCTTTCAATCAGAATAGTTGCGGTTTATAAGAATTGAATTGATAAGTATTGGTATGCTAACATAATATATCTGAGTAAGAACTCGCAATGTGTGGCAAGTTCCTTGTTTCGTCTCTCCTTATTGATCTTTAGTAACACAAGAAGTACCAGCATGAGAGATAAAATTCAAGGATAAATGGGAAAAAGCACGAAGAACTCATTTCAACACTTGCTATAATTCAGTGTGAGTTTTTTGGTACGAATTGAGAGCTCGACGAAATGACTCAAAGAAGAATTTGGTGGTTGCTCTATTCATGAACAATAAGCTAAAAGTCAATATTTTCCAAAATAAACTATATGCGTATGAACTTCCTTCAGTTACAGAAATACATTTAGTTAAAGAGAGAAAATACAATAAAAAGACTTAACTTGCAGCATGACTTACTATTGCAACTTGAGTATCCGTATGAACTTCCTTCCCTTTCTTTGTACGAGTTGTAATAAACATTTCAGACTTTGATGGTTCCTCGTTGTTCTCTTTGGTTGCGCGCTACGAATTATATCAAAGAAGATATAAAAAAATCACTGTGTTCCGACAAAGTACAAAAAGAAATGAAAGTCAGATTACAAAGTGTCGACTAAATATTACCAATTCCACATGCACTCTTGCAAAATTAATAGGTCCCATTCGATGCCTCCACTTTTGGTTTTTTCCTGTTTTCAGAATTTAATTGGCACATAGCCTAACAACAAAAGAAGCATATTAATTAATAAATCAAAAAGGAAAAAATATATACTGCAACAATAGGTATAAAACGTAGAAATACATAGTTTAATCTTACTTGGACATCTTCATCATCCCAATACTCAATCAATTGACGGAATTGAACTTCAGGTATCTCATTGGGACGATTTTATAGCATTTCGTCAATAGTAGCATTTTTATCAAAATATTTATTCTTAATATTTCTCTTGTGTCGCTTCCAAGAATCACGAAGATCAGTCATTATCCACTTCTCTCCTTTAGCTGGAATTAAGAACTTGGACTGTGCAAAGCAACACACACACACACACATATCTTTTCTTAGTAGGAAAAATACAAAAAATATATAATTGAAAAATTAATTATTCTTAATTGACATATTCCCACATTCGTTGCTTAATATCCTTTGACACAGCATGCCAACTGGTATGTACCAAGGGGATAAATATTGGATTCCTTGTAATTGTTCCTAAAAAGTTGGTCAAATCAGACGCTCTCTTGTCAGTTGGTCCAACTACTTGTCCTTTATCAAATGTCACCTCCTCTCTTTCTTCAAAACTTCTTGCATGAATATTCTTACATGTTGTGTGCCCTCGAACTCTTTTCTTCTCTGATGTCCCTAGATTGATATAACAAGCATGACATAAGAAGAAAAAAATCAGGATCTCGAGTCGTCTCCAGATGTTGTTACAGGTATTATATCTGTATTTTCTTATGATGTATATGCGCTGATTGATCCGGGATCTACATTATCATATGTTACACCCTTTGTGGCTAATAAGTTTGGCATTGAACCTGAATTGATAAGTAAACCCCTCGCGGTATCTACTCCGATAGGAGATTTTGTGATTGCTAGAAGGGTATATAGAGGTTGCACTGTGATGATTTGTAGTCGTCAAACCTCGGCAAATTTATTTGAGTTAGAAATGGTTGATTTTGATGTGATAATGGGAATGGACTGGTTGGCCTCATGCTATGCAAATGTTGTAAAATAATTATAAGGTTTAAGACATACCACCTGCAACACTATCGATGTTCATATCCTCATCTCCAATAAATTCATCATCACCAACTTCATCTTGTGCAACAAAATTATCCAATTCTATTTCACGCTCATCAATAATAGGAGAGGACATAAATCTCATTTCATTTTCTGGGTGATTATCAGGATGTTTTTCACCACCAACTTGTATCCCATATTTTTTTAAAAATTGATCAACACTCGTCGACGATAGGATTGAGTTTGTCTTTAACTTTTTGCAATTTTGTAGCTCCTGAATATCAAGTTGTTTCTCTCCATCACCTTGTGTTCTTCTAATCATATGTAATGTGTTAGGATCTACCTTTACAGATGATTGGATCATGGATGTAGGCACAGGTAATTTGCTCATTCCTTGCTTTTGAATGGGATCCTCCAATTGAATTGACCTTTGTTTAATTTGTCCTTTACTTACAATATTATGTGAAGTGTTCAGATCTTCCCTTGAAGATGATTGGATTTATTGGTACACCGTTAATCTATTCCTTCCTAACTTTTGAACTGACACATCGAATTGAGTTAACCTCTGTCTACTTTGTCCTTCTATTGTTGCAGGCATACAATTCTTCCTTTTAACTCCAAGTAATGCCTGCTCTTTAGCAGCTTTATCGTTGCGATCACTTGCAAGTTTTTCTCTCTTAATCTGAAATTTTTTGGCTAGTTCGGCACTTGATCGGTATTGGAAATCAAAACCTATATTCTTCATTGGACTTTGAGCTTTGTTTGGATTCAGAACTTTTCTCTTAAGAGCTGCCGCTTGATTCATCCTACATACAAAAAAATTAAATTACTTTAGCCTACCAACTAGTAAGAATATATAGCAGTATGTGAGAAAGTAAATATTTAAGAAATTAGACATATTTAAGAACTTTGACACCCATCGAATCAAGCTGCATAAATTGTTGCAAAATAAATCCTCAACACATCAAAAGTCCAAATAAAATCAATGAGCAATATGTTCCTAACAACAAGACTTAGTGATTTGGTTCACTATATTAACAACGATGTCAGAAGCCAACTGTGAAGCAACATATCTGCATTAATGAAAATTTTAATATTGAAAACTTGTTAAATGCTAGAGTTCACAGATAAGACTAAAACATACTGAGAGCATATATAAGTTAACAGGTCAAAAGTGCGTCATTCATTTCTGGGATAGAGATCTTAAAAATAAAAGGAGACTGATAAGGTTGCCATTCAACTATTTATTATTTAATGAGAAGCCTTCCATGAGATTTTATTTGTGCAGCTGATTCTTATACTCCTCACTGATCCATTTAGGCAATCTGACTTTAGTTTTGATCGTGCTAGTATATGTGTGTGCATGCATTTAAATATATACTAGTGCATACATGGAACAAGACAATTTACAAGTCCGCACGGTAGCAGGTGTTACATCATTTACAACGTCGTGAGAACAAATTAAGCAACGGAATAAGACGCCATTGATCATATAACACAACATTCTCTTGTATAAGGTGACTGAAAAACTTCAGAGTGATACGTCAATTATAAATAATCATGATTCATTAGTATGTATGGTACGATGCAAATCTATCAAATACTTCAGAACCCATTAGTTCAATTCTAACAGATAACAATTGGCCTAAATTATTACCATTTCTGTACCAATATGTCACTTCCGATTCAAACAATTTAAAAAGGTGTGCTTTCTTAAAATTTCCCTTATGGCAAATTCAAATCTATCAAATACTGAAGTTAAACTTAGTAATGAGATGTAAATTATCTTGAGTGCATCTTCTTTCGTAAAGCAATTTTTTGCACTCTCTACTCTAATAATCTTAAGGCTAAGTTCTGCAGAATTGGATCTTGCAATATTCAGAAAGATGGCTATTGACAAGTTGCATCAAATGAGTGCCATAGCCAATTTAAAGTGAAGGTAGAGATGATGGGCAGACATGTGGATACACACAATAGTACCAAAAAGCAGCCAAGATAGATGGAAATATCTATCTTCCTGAATCTTCATAAACAAAACAAATGTCTACAGCCAAAATTAACACCATGATACCCGTTTAATATCTCTTGGTTCCTTAAAATTTATTAGTCCAATATCTTCTCTAGTTGCATGTGCACCACATGATAATAATAAAAAAAAACAAATACGTATATACTTTAAAACTTGCTCCAATACTCTAGGTAATAGGACAATATAAATTCCGAAGCATAATTTCTACTTACTCACGTTCACTTCTCTATTCAAAACTAGAGGAAATTCTCGATCCACATATGATACAATATGGTTCCTCAGAAGGGACACATTGAATAACCAATCAAGTAATTTCTAGTGATACCAAAAGGGACATATTAAAAATACATGAGTAGAAAATATATGTGCACATCAAAGAAATCGATCAACAAGAAAATATTTAATATTGAACTTGACGAAATAGACAACATCAATTTAAATCTACAGCAACAGTCTTTAATGTGTCTCTAGCTATTAATCAAAAAGTGGCTAAGCTATTTTCTATTCGAATTAGAAAAAAAAAACTCATGATGTGTCTTCAAAATCAAACTCTTCATCCAATTCAATTTCATGTTGTTGTGCTAGAAATCCTTCTGGAGGTACATCAAGAATGGTTGCTGGAACATCACTCCTTACTAAGGTAACTTCACCATTATCCTCCGGTATAGATGGGCCAGCCAAATATTCAGATGGCTCATTTTCATAACATTGTGGAGCATTAGATTCAAGATCATCACTTATGCTAAACAAGTCTCTCGGGACAGTCTTCATGACATACAATTTATCTTGATCATATGGATCTTGCACATAAAAGCATTGGTGTACTTGAGATGCTAGGACAAAAAGCTCGTTCTGATAACATTTCTTGTTTAAGTAGACATAAGTAAGGCCATAAATATCTTCTTCAACCTCATACCAGTCGCACTTAAATAAGACAACCCTAAAATGGCCATAATAGTCTAATCAACTATATCAACTATTCTACCATAATAAGTCAAATTTGCGTCAACCGGATTTTTATCTTTTGAGCTTGCAAAACTTGTAGTTAGGGAGACTAATGTAACACCACTATTTTATGTTTTACATCTTCCATCACGCTGCCTCGTATGGAATCTATATCCATTAATGAGATACACATAATATCTTTTAGCAATTGAATTTGGTACGAAGGACAATTGCTTTATAAGATCGGGCACATCCTCTTTCAAAGAACGAGTTTCAAACCATTGAGAGAAGTTTTGACTATGATTCTTGGCCTTGCTCCATTTAGATACTTATCTCTGATTACTAACCTCAACCTCATATTCACTACACAACAAGTATTTTTATTTGTTAGTAAAATGATAAATAAAGTAATTTAATAACAATATACATAAATAAATGCTATAAGTGATTAAATTACCTTATATATTCTTGAACTTCATCACAATTATTCAATAAGTATATATGTGCCTAATTTAATGACATGTCATCTAAAACAATTGGATCACTCTTTTTCGCTCCTAAAGGACAACCTGTATTAGGGAACAATCTAGAAGTTTGTGCATTAATTGAATCATATTCATCATTGTTTCGGGATTTTCGATTAAATCGAGTCTTTACACCTCCATGTAAGTATCTAGAGCATAAAGTCAAACACTCTTCAACCAAATATGCCTCAGCAATAGATCCTTCTGGATAATTTCTGTTGCGAACATATGATTTTAATATACACATATACCTTTCAGGAGGATACATCCATCGATTTTAAATTGGACCTCCCAACCTTACCTCATTTGCCAAATGAATCATTATATCAAAAAAAGTTGGAGGAAAAATTCTTTCCAATTGATTTATTGTTTCTCTAATCTCTATTTCCAAGCAATTTAGCTCTTCCATTGTGATAACGTTTTGACATAAACGGCGAAAGAAAGAACTTAGACGAATCAAGGGGATAGCAACATTATCAGGAAGTATGCTTTTAACTGGTATTGGCAACAAGTAATGTAACATGAAGTGGACATCATGGGTTTTATAACCGGATAATTTTCTTTCATCTAGCTGCACACACCTGGATATGTTGGAAGCACTACCATCAGGTAACTTTGTTGTCTTTAAAATACCATAGAAAA